GGACGTTCAGCCTTACAGCAGTAGAAGGTGCTGTCTTTCTCACAGAGCGGCTGGCGGGTTGGAACTGTTGACCTCGTAGTTAGTAGCCCCACATGCCACCCACTAGAGAGGCTAGGATTTACAGCACATATTTGAGGAATTAGGGAGAGGATGCAGTTGGACCCCTAACACTTGCCATTCCTCAGATGGGAAAACCTACTGTCAGATGCTGGGGCCGCAGGAGGGCTCAGCTACAAGTAGTCAATGGGGACAGGGAGGGGGGAAAGTCCGGCTCCCCAAAGAATCGAGCATCAAGCAAACCAAACTCAAATCCACTGCTGTGCAGTCCATTCTGACCCTCCAGGACCCTGTATCCCTGCATGAGGCTTCAGAGGCTGAACCAGATTGACAGGTGCACACCACCTCCCTCATTCTTCTAAAAAGCGGCTGGTGGGTTTGAACTGCGCCAACTTTGAGGTTAGCAACAGTCACTGATCATTCATTCTGCATCCAGCACAACTGCCAGTGAAAATACCAATAAGCTGGTGGCGGCGGCGGTGGTGGCGGTGGTGGAGACAGTGGTGGTGGTGGTGGTGTGTGTGACAAGAATCCGTTGCCGAGTCCTAGCAGAAAAGGCCCTGCGTAGAAAGCAGGAGCCGTGGCGGAAAGAGAGGGCCAGGGGCTCATGCCTGCGGTCCTGGTGCCGGTGCACAAGCCGTGTGTTTCTGAGGGGATCGAGACAAAGCCCCTCCCATTGGCGGGGACCATCCAGGCACAGCCTGTCTGATAGATTGCTCACCTGGTCTGCAGCCTGGTCGGAGTCATCGCAAACTGGGACCTCGCTGAAGCAGCAGGTGTGTGTCTGTGCACGCTGCTCTGGGTCTCCTGGAGGCGGAGGGGTCTGTGACCCAGGCAATGGGGCTTCAGGGAGGGACTGTCCCTCAGCCAGCAGTCAGGACTCTGGCAGCGCTGCTCAGGGCGGACTCTGCTCTTTGGGGCTTTATCTCAAAAGCTCATTCTTACCGTTCAAGGTTTGGTTAAGCCAGTGTTAGGGGTTCAACTGCATCCTCTCCCCATTTCCTCAAATACGTGTTCTAAATCCTAGCCTCTATAGTGGGTTGACACGTGGGGCTACAAACTAGGAAGTTAGCAGTTCGAATCTGCCAGCCGCTCTGTAGAGAAAGACAACACCTTCTACTGCTGTGAAACTCACAGTCTCTGAAACCCACAGGGGCGGTTCTACTCTGTCCTGTAGGGTCAACACGAGTTGGAATTGTCTCCGAGACAGTGAGATGCCCATGTGTGGTTATGACCACATTTGGGAGTGAGCTGCCCACACAGTAACTCCTATAACGATAGCCTGGGCTGCCGCATCCATGCCAGATCACAGCAGTCATCTGACCCAGGAGCACCCCCATGGGCTTCGCTAGGCTGCGGCCTTTATAGCACAGACAGCCGGTCTTCTCCTGTGGAGCTTCTGGTGGGTTTGAACTCCCAGCCTTTTGGTGAGCAGCCCAGTGCATGGCTCAGGCCCTGGAGAATGAATGCATTGAATGCCACAAAGAAATTGTCTGTGGTCAAGGTGTGGGGAAAAATCCCTCATTTCTCAGAGAGGGCCACCGAGGACGCTCCCCCCCTGGGTGGCGTGCTGTGAGTGGGAATATAAGCAATTTAGCCAATGACATGAGCACCTACTAAGCGAATGGAACCAAAGTGATTCAAAGTGCTACTTTGCTTAGGTAAACTCTATTGAAGTTTACCTGTACGCTCAGAGGGGCCTAAAGCCAGGCTGTCAACCAACTGATTCCGTGAGTGACATCATTTTGGTCCCTTTCGAGAACTAACCTGAGTGAATAGGGCGCCACACCAGGGAGACTGTCCCACGTGGTCCCAGGAGACTGACACCATATTCACTGCTGAAGGACAGTGTGGGCTGAGCTCCCCACATCGCCCCAAACAGAGCAAAACAAACACCCAAGCCAAACCCACTGCCAGCGAGCCAGCAAGCTGATTCTGTGCCAGCAACTCTGCTGGGAGGCAGAACTGACCCCGGAGGTCTCTGCGACTGTAACTCTTTACAGGAGTAGAAAGCCTCGTTTTTTTCCATAGAGCAGCTGGTGGCTTCAAACTGCTGGCCTTGCGGTTGGCAGCCCAACTCCCAATCCATTATGCTACCCAGGTGCTGTCACTGCCTCACCCAAACTCACTGCCATCGAGTTGATGCTGACTTAAAGCAGCCCTATGGGACTGGGTAGAACTGTCCCTGTGAGTTTCTGAGACTGTAATTCTCACAGATTATGAAAAAATATATATATATACATATATCACTGTCTCAGCACTTCAGGACCAGGGACAGCTCCGAGCAGCTCAAAAGGGAGCTTGCTGCTCTCAAACCTCCCATCCCCACCCACCCCCGACAACCCAATTTCTTCCTGTCTGCTGTTGGCTTGGGAACTTGACCTCCAACTGGTATCCTGTCCCAGGATCAGGGTGTCCAAAGCGAGGCACTAAGACCAACCTGGCCTTGGCTGTTTTAACACATTCCAGGGTGACCCCACAGAGCCGCCTGGCCCAGCCCCTGGGGCTGGCACTGGTGCCTGGCTGAACTAGAAGGTTCCCTGGAGACCTCCTGGGGCCAACTGCCCGTGAAGAACCCAGCACCCAGCCAGAGCTAAGGCTGTGTGTCTGGCTGAGAACACACGCTGCAGGTGCGCCTGAGGCAGAACCTAGCTTCCAGTCTGGATGGGACTCTGGCCGCTCCTGCTGCTGCCTGGGCAGGTGCTGTCATAAAGCTGGGGCATCCCTCACACTCTCGGACCCTCTCCTTCTGGCTGATAGCCACATGCAGGACAGGGCTGGGGTGGTGATGGTGGTGCAGTGACACCAGGCACTTTCCAGTGGCTGGCTCCCTGCCCGGGACCCCACCTGACCAGCATCTGCTTACACCGATGCTGTCACCCAAGATAGAGCTCCAAGCATGTTCTACACCGTGCCACACAGTCCACCACCAAAGCCGGCCCGCCCCAAGGACAAGATGGTCAGCTGTGTCAGCATGAACCCCAAACCAGGCTAAGGCTTGGCATAGCCGGAAAACTCCCCTGATGTGCACCCAACCGTCCCCAAGGGCCAGGCTCTTAGAGTCAGGGATGGGGGGGGGCAGCACAGACTGGCCCCTGACCACCGGATGCCAGTCCCACTGTGCCGCCAGCTGAGGGAGATGGGGTCTCAGTTTCCTCGTCTTTAAAAACGGGAACGGTGGTGATATTTCTCTCCCGGGGTTGTGGTGGGATCAGTAGCAGGCACTCAGAAGGGTGAAAGGCGTGTGGTCAGGCAACCCGGGGAGGGTGGATTGAGGAAACAAAACCCAGTGTCCCCCGCTCCCCTCCCTGGTCTCACCCCGACCACGCTCAGCACCCAGGGCAGCCTGCCCAGGTGGTGCACACCTGCCAACCCTCACAGACGCTAACTAGGCAGGAAGTGTAAGGCAAAAACGCTTTCTTTAAAAATAGGCCTTTTCAATTCATTTCTCTTTGAAGCTCCGGCACGTGGACTGTGAAATACTAGGTCTATTTTTAACCTCCCACGGCGGCTTTAAGCCGGCAATGTCAGCACAGGGCCCGAGGATGGAGGCCAAGGCTGAGCAGAGGCTGGTCCCTTCCCGCTGGGGTTGAGCTTGGCTCGGAAGGTGAACCTGTGATAGGTGAGCAGCTCTTCAGGCTACAGCCGAGCTATTGCTGCCACGGCCACCACCATCACCTTGGTCCACTCTTTGCTGACACTTCCCAGTGTCACCCTCTCCCCTCTGCCCTGCCCGTGCTTCCTCTCCACCCCTCTGTCCCTCTGAGCCGCAGGCCTGGGTAAGTTCTCTGGTCACTAACTGAAGGACAGTGAAGAAGTGTCCTACCTAAAGGTCACAGTCATAATATCCCTGTGCGGTTGCACCCTGTGGGGTTGACAAGTCAGAGCCGAGTGGCCTTATGGCAACTATCTTTATTTATTAACCCCAGGGGGCAGGGGTGGTCCTCCCTGACCCAGCGTCACCACCAACCAACCAGGGCAAGTTCCCCTTCCTCCTGGAGATCCTGAATGTCACCATATCTACAAAGCCGCTTTGGCCAGGTAAGGTCAGGAAGCCCCAGGCCCCCAGGATGGAGACACACATGGTCTTGGCGAGGCTGGGAGGGGCCATGGATGTACGCACCACAGGGTTGCTGGGAATGTTCTGGGAGGTAGTTGCACACTGTGAAACTGTGCTCCCTGGGCCTCTGGCCCCTGCAGCTTCCTGTGGAGGCTGTGGGTGTCCCCACCCCCTGACACACCCACACACCAGGCCCCTGCACTCCTGGCATGTTGGTGGATGCCCGGGACACTGACCTGGTCGTCAATCTTCCGCTGCAGCTGCACCACCTTGTTCTCCATGCCCACGTTGAGACGCTTCAGGTGCTCAGCTGAGCGGGCCTCGATCTTGAGAGCCTTAAGCTCCCGCCTGGCCTGGAGGCTCCGGAAGGCACACTGGAGGACCACGGCCGCAGCCCGCAGGCGCTGGAAGCACCGGCGTGTCACCCAGCCCCGCACGTGCTTCTGGATGACGGTGGCCTTGTGCTCCAGGAGGACCTGTTGGGGACGGAGTCACAGGCTCACCACTGTGGAGGGGGGTGAGGGGGCTCGCTGTAGGCCAGGTGGGAGGGAAATTGATGCCGCTGTGTGGACGGGGCGCACAGGTCTGCCTGGGCTGCTAGAAGGGGGGGGGGTGCTGCCGCCTCCAGACCGAATGCTTTGGTGGCAGTTGGCTCTGTGATTGTGTTTTTGAGAGGTTCTGCAGCCCCGCGAGCAGCTGCCATCAGATTGAATGTGACTGTGTTTCTCTGGGTGGGAAACCGCGGTCTACGAACCTCAAACTTGGAGGGTCATTAAAAACCCCCCAGCTGAGCAGAGGAGGGGCCGTCCTGGAGCTGGCGAGCTGGGGAGGGACTGAGGGGCCCTCCCTTGTGCCCACACAGCCCAGCGAGGGAGTCACTGCTTTTCCCCACCCTGCAGGCAGCCTCCAGAGGGAACACAGAACAGCATGGGGGCTCCCGCCCTGGGAACAGGGTACAGGCTAAAGCAATCAACCCAGAAGCAGACCTGCTGCGAGATGAACAGACTTGAAACCCTAACTCCGGAGCTGGGAGCCCAGAGCCGGGGTCCGACGGCAAGCTTGCTGTGCCTCCCACGTCACCAACCTCTCGAGGGCATCAGGTTCTCCCACTGGCTTTGGGGAGGCTGTACGGGGGCTGGGGGCGCTTCAAAAAGCGAGTGGAGAAAATGCAATGACGGCTGTCCATCGGGTGCCGGCTCACAGAGGGCATCGTCTGTCTGCAGCCGACAATTCGGACACCTTTTGTTTCAACCCACCTGTGGCCATCCCTTCACTGGGCCACCCACCGTACATCCCCCTCCTCCCTGCAGCTCCCATTTCTGTCCCTCCTCCCCTCCTAAGGAGAGGCTGTAGTCGTGACCTCCAACGCTCATCAGAAGGTGTGCACACACCCCTGCTATTTCTGTTGCCCTTCCAGACCGCTCTGCTGTTTGGCTGAGAGGTGAGTCACGGGTGGTGACAGGGACATGGCCTCTAACTGACCAGCAAGCCTGGTCTCCATGAATTCAGTGCCACCTTCTCAACCCACTCTATCCGGGGCTTTCAGAGCCGTTGGTAGTGGCCATTGGGTACCACCCAGTTCAGTGGTTCTCAACCTTCCTAATGCCATGACCCTTTAATATAGTCCTCATGTTGTGATGACCCCCCAAACCATAAAATGATTTCCATTGCAACTTCATCACTGCCATTTTGCTACTGTTATGAATTGGGCGACCCCTGTGAAAGGGTCATTGGACCCCCAAAGGGGTCTCGACCCACAGGCTGAGAACCGCTGCTTCTGGTCTCAGCGTCGCTCCAGGTGCTTTTGGAAGTCGCCTCGTCTGATGCTCTGGGGTGCTCTACTCTGACGCTGGCCTTATGGCAGTTATTTTTGGTTATCAATGTAGTGCTTTACTTCCCTGACTTGTAGAGCAGGCTATTTCCTTACGAGAGAAGAGAGAGCAGCTCATTTTAGAAGAACGGGGAGTTTCCATTTGGACACCACTGCCCGTTCTTTTTTTTTTTTTTT